GGACCAGCTACAGGTGCCTGAACCAGCTGAGGGATCCAGAGCCATTCAAAAGTATTCCCACACTGGTCAGACAGGGCTACCAAGCTGACCAGTCCTAAGCTTAAGCCAAGGTTCAAGTACTGTGAGTTTAGAAATTGTGTGGCTCTTAAAGATGTAGGAAGGAACCACATACCAAGCACAGAGGAAGCTGTGTGGTAAAGCACATGGTCAGACCTTCATAGGCCAAGAAGGCACGGTGCCTCCCATTAAAATGCCCAAATAGCAAGTAATGAGGTGGTTGCTGGGACCCCGGAGCTCTGCAGTGAATTAAGATCTGCTAGAGAAGCATATATGTGGCCTGGGGTGAGGCAGGGACCCTTCTCGTCAGCATCAGCATTGTGTAACCTTTAAGAAAAGTCTATCCAGGATTGCAAATATTTACTAGACAGGCTATTACAACCACCACCACCACCACCACGTTTCAAATACACCAAGCAGGGGATACAGCACTCTATAATATCAGTGGTGCTATATTACCAGTGTGCCAAGAATAAAGCTAGTTTCTGCCAACAGCAACTGCATGGTGAAAGTTCCTTTTGCAGTCTATGGTTCACTTTTCTGAACTGGCACACTGGCAGCAGCAAGCACCTCCTTGTTTCCAGTGACGGCTGTTGCTCTAGGTTTTTCCCGTGAAGGATACTGCACAAACTGAAAGATGGAATCGGCCTCTTTCAAAGGTTGTGAGTAAAGATATTCCAACAAGGTGGTGACAACTTAATGCAGCGAGCAAAGCCATGTTGCAAAAGAAAACTGCCTTTTTCTTAGTTACAGTAAGTCAATGACTAGAGTAAGGTAGATTAACAGTGCTAAGGAAAATGAAAGTATGTTAAGATACGGAAAAAGGCATTCATGAAATCAAAGCCTTGTGCTTGTATATACTATACGAGTTCTAAAGATTTATCATAACAAAAGCTAACAGGGAACTAGAGAAAGCCTTTTAAAACACAGTGCATAATGGTTAGGGAAGTGACTGGGAAGATCAAAGGATTTTTCTGTGGGAAAGAGGTTGAGCTAATCTTATACAGAGGAGATGCCCCTCAACACACACACCTGGCAGGATTAAGTCTTAGCAAGTTTGCTGATCATTTCTTTTCAGTTCTTTTTGTGCAGAGGGCAAGAGAATTAATGAAAGGGCAGACTTAGGCAAAGACAGGGAAAAGATGTCCCAGCTTTCCCCAACCTGTCATGTAGGACACGGTCTTTTGTAAATGTGCATAGGATCGCACCCAGAGTGAGTTTTCCTCAAGCAGGAAAACAGCTGAGGCACATTTCCCTGAGTTGAAATAGGGGGAGCATCGAACGCCTGCAACCTCCCCCCCCCCCCCAGTATGGGGAGCAACTCAATCATCCAGACGCTAGAGAGAGTGGCACAGCCGGGCCTCTGCAGCAGCTGACTGGCAGGGAGGAAGGTGCGTGCAGATGCAGCAGGTATGTATCCTTTGGAGAGGATGAGGATTTCGTCTGTTCAGTTCATTTCTTGCAGGTCACTAACCCTTCTCTCATGCAGACCATGGGGATTTCTGGCATGCAACAGCCTGTACTAAAGCTGGTTTCCTTCCTATCTAAAGGAACGCTTGTGCCCATATATGCCGTCCCGCCCCTTGAGATCAGCAACGGATGCCCTTCTCCGGGAACCCTCTGTGAATGATATTAGGAGGGTGAGTACCCGGAGGAGGGCTTTCTCTGTGGTGGCGCCCCACCTATGGAATGCGCTCCCCAGAGAGGTCTGCCTGGCGCCGTCGTTATTTGTTTTTCGGCACCAGGCTAAGACCTTTTTATTTAAAACTTATTTTAATTGCTAAATTATTGTATTAATTAGGATTTTAACATTTTTAGCCGAGAATGCACCGGGGTTTTTAAATGTTGTTGTTTTTTCTTCTTTTAATTGTTATATTATTATTATTTATGTATGTTTTATGTATTCTTTGTGAGCCACCCCGAGGCTTTGTTGCGATGGGGGCAGCATAGAAATGTTTTAAATAAATAAATAAATAAATAAATAAATAAAACTTCAGAATCTGTGAATCTGCCATTTGAGATCTGAGCCATTTGTACTATTATTTGAGACACAGTAAAAACTGCATGATTATTACTTAGAGATGATAAGTTGAGGTAAATCTTATTACCCCAGATCTGGGAGCTCTCTTGTGCAACTTGAATGAATTGAATTGAATGAACTGAACATTGCACATGTGTTTTTGACAGACCCTCCTGGATTCTAGAGCAGCACCTGTCATTTTAATGTGACTATTTTGCACTGTTGGTTTATTCAAAATATTCAAATTCCACCCTTTATCTTCTGATGCCACAGTAGTGCATACACTTAATCTGAATAACCTAAGATAGTATTCAATTAAAAACCAATGGAAGAAATAAAAAACTTCATATTTAATAATACATATTACTCAGGTAATGATACTTTTAAATGAATGCTTCGGCTGAATATTTCAAACCATAAGAAATCATTTATGTGCAATACTTAAAATTACTTCCTTCAACCACGAAGCCTCCATTACTTTGCACAGCTACTCAAGACAATCAAGATCTAGTTCAAACTATGTAGCTATTTGTAGAAAGATATTTTGAAAATGAACATCAGAGAAGGACAAAGTGGAAATCATTCAACGCAAACATTCTCTACCACTGGGACAGATGCGTTCTTAGCAATTTTATAGAAACACAGGAATGAAGGATCAAAAACTATCAAACAAGTTGATATGTACAGGTTTTGCTAGCAGAACAAGAAATTCAGACTGCGCATGGACAATACACCACGGCTCGTTATGGGTTACCCTAAGACAGACCATGCATGATGGGAGGTTGTCATCCGCCCCTGAGCACTTTGCATGGCATCACAACCAAGCAGGATTGCATGCCCAAAATGATGGGCTGCAGCCTTACCGGTAGTGGGCTTTTATGTCAGGCCTGGTGCCCCAGTCAGTACTCATAAAGTATGACAAGAATTGATATGTGCTTTGGTCACATAGTGCAGGTTCTCTGACCAAAACTCTCCATCTTTAGTACGTTCAAACATCAAAAGCAACGCTTTCCTTACAGGTCACCAGTTAACTCTCCTTGAATGGACTGTATTTACTTTGTTCTATGATCAAGGCCCTTTTCCTCTAGGCACAACAGGGTCACTTTCAGAGAAAATAGTTGCAGTTAGGTGCCCTAAAAGCAAAGTGAAAAGTTAGTCACAGCTAAACAAAGCCCAATAGATTTCATAGGAACCAAATCAATTTAGTTTGGATGGAACCTGGTATTCCTTATAAAACTAGCAGTGCCAACAAAACCTATGAATACCATTTTGAATAAGCCATCTAAACTCGATCTATCTTGAATGCTCACTTCAGAAGAGATTATCCTCAGACATATCTTCCTGCCACACAAGAGTCAGCATAACTTAGTGAAGTAGAAAATAACCGGTTCAGCAGAAATGGCTTTCCCACACTAACAGCCCAGACCAGTGAAAAGCTCTCATGGCCCAGATGCGGCGTATGCCTTCTCCACACCTACTGGACCACACTGTCGGAAATGCATGACATTTGAGTCCCAACCCATCAGTGCCAGTGCCAACAAGCACCATGGATGGGCCTGGGATGAGCCCCAGGAGGCTGCTGATGGGAGTTCAGGGAGGAAAAAAGGTTAGCTGCAGCTCTGAGATGCATCAGGTGTTAACAGCCGCCTCTCTCTCCTTTCCTCACCTCATACCTGAGTCCCACCCCTGTGCCGCAGGCTGCCCTGCTGGGACCCAGAAAGCCCCAGGCAGAACCACTGTGGAAAGAGGAAGGAAAGCTGCTGTGGCTGCTGGGCCTGGCATTTCTCTAGCTACTGAAGTCCCAGGTTTAAAGTGGCGTGGGGAGTGGGGCTAGATGTGTCAAATCCACAAACGGTCCCTGCAGCCTGCCACCAGCTAGCCCAAAAGCACCTTTTAAAGCTGAGTCCAGAGCCAAGTGAGAACCTGGGCCTGGCAGCTAAAGAGGCCACCTTCTTCTTTCACCCAGAATCCTCTGGACCCTGATGCAGCACCACAAGGGGCAGCTACATGGGCATAGGGTCCAAAGCAGTGCAGGGCTAGCACATTACTACTGCCAGCCGACAATTTGGTAAGCTTGCAGGGGGTGCTTGCAGGGCAGAAGGCAGGGCCAGAGTCTCCTCAGCCCTGGCACTGGACCTGTAACTTGGCTGGCCAGGTAGAAACCAGATCAGAGATCTGGAGGAGAATGTAGAGGGGGGATGCCAGCAGGTGTGATGAGCTACCAGTCTAAAAAGCTACCAATATCCATGACTGGCCTTGGGCAAAGTTGTTCCTTCTTGTCTTTCCCCCACACCTCTTCTTGGCTGTTTGTTACACGTACAGAGTTGCAGTGGGGAAAGTGGGCAAGAGAAGAAATGCAATGCATTTGCATTCTACAAATGCAATCCACTTGCAAAAGGGAAATTCATAAGTGCACGTTACTTATATAAGCAATCAGCCAAGGGCCAGCACAGCCAATTTACTGTGCCAGGACTTCATTGGGCAGGATTAGCAAAATCACCATTTTTCATCTGCATAAAATGAGACTACACTGACCCATGTGGTTCTTGCGAAGGTGAAAGAGCTTGTAAGTCACTTTGCACATCAAAGAGTCAATGAAACAGTTATTGCAATTAATGTGTTCTATGGATACAATTGACAAACACACAAACCTCACAAAGACTTGGACATACAGCATCTTTCTCATTTGCCACATACTACATGAGTTGCCTAATGAGTACTTCAGATATGTCCCAGTAAGTAAAGTTCTAAACTAATACTACAGACATACCCTCACATGCACTTCCATCGGAATTGTAACACTCAAGTGCACGAGTATTTGCAGAGTTTGGGTTCTCAGTCTGAATGTAAGTAACATGGGAAGGACACGTTGCCACCCACCTGAGGCACCTTTTGAACAAATGAGGTAGCAGATGCCACTCACCTCTAAACACATTGGGGAAGGCATCAGTCGAAGCTGACATCCCTGAGGACTTTTGCAAGTGATGCAAAGGCACTCGTTCACCTTCAAAACCATCTTTGCTCCGCCTGTACTCCAAGAAGTCTGCAGAGCCTGACTTCTGAGCTATTTCGCCTCTGTGAACTGAGACCTCCTCCGTCCAGTCTGCCGATCGGCTATACGAACCAGCCAAACTGGCCGACCTCTGCTTCTTGGGTGTGCTCTCCTTCCTCCAGGAGGACTCGCGTCTCCGTTTGAAGAGTGGGCTCTCAGAGGGGGACAGAGAAGGTGAGTGGTTGGGAGAACTCAGCTGCCTAGTGGTGGTTTTGATGTAGCAGGTGTTGATGAGAGGGTAGGGCTTAAAACATTTGGAACTGTGCACAGGACTGCTCGAGACATCCTCTGAGGAAAGGGTACCATTTTTCATTTCGGCAGAGGAGCCATTCTCGGATGGCCCTTTGCTGGCTGCCATGCCCCACGTCCTCTCTTTGGCTCTCTCCACCTGATCAGGGCCTGCATCTGCAACATCCTCCTCTCCCTCTGAACCTGCCGCTGCTCCAGAAATCACGTCCGTCTCTGACTCTCCAGCTGGGGATGGAAAATTAAACACAGAACTGCCCAGCAGAGTTCCATTTTTTGTCACTGCAGCATCCGAGGTGAATACGTCTTTTAGCTCCCCGGCGGCTTGCCTCTCCTCCTCCCGCAGTCGCCCGTGCTCTTCTCGCATATCAAACACACTGCTGCAGGGATACCCCACTCCCCTTGCCAGCTCTCGCACTTCGCTTTCAGTCTCACAGGCAGGGACATAGTCGGCGATTTCCGATTTCGCCGAGACCGGCAGTTCCGTATCTGGACTGCTGTCTTTGTCGCTGCTCACTGAAAGGAACCTTTCAAAGTCTAAGGGGGCTGCCTGAGCACTGGCCATGTGTAGGGCCATTGTTTTGGTGCCATGCTGCTCAGTTCCAACGTTAATTGCCCCCTGCTGCTGCTGCTGCAATTGCAGTCTAATAGCCTGCTGGATATCAGAAAGCAAATCCTCTTGTTCGGTGGCTGAATGGAAACTGTATATATCCGTATCCGAGCCGGAGCTGGTCCTTTGTCCATCCTGCGGCTCAGCAGCAGCTGGGCGAGTTGCATTTGTGTTTTCAAAATGCTCCACATCTGTGTCTGAAAGACCTCCTTCATCTGCAGAAATGCTTATATCGGGAGTTTTGGTGAGAATTGAATGAGTGCTGTCTAGCTCCCCGGTTTGCGAGGCCTGGCTGTCTAAAACATCCTCCCTCGAGCTGCTGTTTCCATCCTTTGCCTTGGAGAGGTTTTTTCTGATCCTTAGGTTGGAAAACACAGATGCTCGGGACTCCGACTTGCCCTTCTTTTTGACAGATTCACTCCCTCTGCCGTGCTTCCCCAGCCCCTTCTTGCTCCCTGCTCCCTTCTTTGTGCCTTCTGCATCCCTGGGCCCAGAAGCATCCTCGCCTCCGTCATGCACATCACCTGCATTCCTCTTCAGCTTCCCATCTTGGTTCCCCATGTCGTTCGGCAGTCGTGCAGCGCCGGCGATCAAGGCATGCCGCTCGGCTTCATTCAGCTGGCCTGGCAGCCAGGACCTCGGGAGCGATCCAGGTTTGTTTTGAAGCGGCGCTGAGGCGAGCGGAGCAAAGGTCCGCTCCGGCTCTCTCGCAGCGGCTCGGGCTGCCTTTTTGCATAATGTGCTGCCAGCACACGGCTCCTCCGAGACATGCTCAGTAGAGCACTGAGAGATGCAGACAGCTCCTTCCAATGGTAGCTCGTGGCAGCGTTGCCTTTTCAGACCAAGCCTGTTGTACTCCCAGCTCTCTTTGGTAGATGTGAATAATAATTCCTTGACAACGGGAACTTTTTTATCCACTGTCTGAATCCCCTCCATTGTGAGCTCTGGGAAGATCAGTTTGTCATTGTGTGTCTTAAATTTCAGGACTTCTGAAGTTTACGTTCCTAGAATTGTGTGTTGGGGAGGAGTGGGGGACAGAAAAAGAGAAGGGGAAAATTAAGTCCCATGTCCCATAACTTTCTGACTATTCCCAGTACACACTAGCAGTACTTAATACTTGAAAATAAACTTATTCTGCAGTTTAATCACTTGTATTTTGCTAAATCATTATCTCAGTTTTACATATGTACTAGAATCTTGTACACACTATTTTTAAATATGTATAAATATTTTTACTACAAATGTACAACTATATTTTTGAAACTCACACACATAGGTCTACTTTAACAGTTTTATGCATATTCACAACAATGTTGTGCAGTGTGTTTAAAGCTTAATGATTTGACAGATCATTCAGTATACTGCTGTAAATGACCATTTAGAAATAAGCCATTTGCAAACCCAGGGGAGCATAAATAATGACATCCTCAAAGGGGACAATGCTCATCAATATTCAGCAGATATTCATTGTTTCTTCTTTAAAAAACCAAAACCCAGCAACCATCACCAGGAGAATGGTCATTTAAAGTAAGCTCTGCCTTGTGTCACTTTTAACACACTTTAAAAAATATTTTTAACAGACTGTATGGTTTATTAAGTATAATCATTTCTACTTCTGGTAGTAGTTTGTACAAAACAATCACATGCATACCAGACTTACTGCCTTATGATCCTGGGATTATCAATGCTGAAATAAATGTATGTAAAACAGAAGGACAGTGTAAGATCTCCTTTGTAAGTCAGACCCAAAGTCTGTCTGATCCTTCCTCCTGACCCAGTCAGGAACCTATATAGGCCAGATATGTGATTGTGAGAAAACCCCAGGCAATCAGGGACACAAAAGAAAGAGGGTTGAAAAAAACAAAGCAAAACCCCAAACAGAACAAAACAAACAGAGCGCTCTGTTTACAGAGAAGAACACCCTGCAGAGTTGCGCAAGGCTTACTCACAAGCTGATATCTACAATTACTTGGGCATAATACCCATGGAATTCATTGTGGGTATTGCTGAATAAACAGGCATACAATGGGACTGTTGATGCACAAACCTCATCCACAATTGTAAACAAACATTTTACATAAAGTGTTTTAGCTTTTAAGTTTCAACATTCCCTTTTGCTATATCTCCATAATTTATCCTTGTTAATGACAAGAAAGAGAAATCTGTGTTGAAGTGTCCAGATCCAAGGACTTTTAAAACCAATTTTTCCAGACCAGCCCCACTGAATTGTAAGGATAATGTTCTACATTGGGAATTTTCCCAGAGGAAGTCTTCAGTGGGCACAGAAAGAGGGCACCCTCTTACCACTTCTTTCGCTAAAGTATTTCGGATGGAAAAGGAGCCTTGGAGATTGGTGCAGGATATTTAATATTTGAGCTTACCTTTTCATCAACAGCATCATCATTATTGTATTTATTTATATCCTCCCTATTCCAGTGAGTGGGACTCTAGGTGGCTCACAACATTAAAAACTTGTACAAACTGATGTAATTAAGCATTCATAGAAATATACAAAAGTTAAAATATACTTAAATCAGTTGAGCATTCAAAATTATACCAAATACTCAAATTAAAAGCATGAAAAACAATGTGGAAGAGTAGAATCAGTGCAGCACAAGCTCCTGAGTCCAGACCATTCCCAAATGCAGGCCAGAACAGAAAGGTTGGTGCCTGCCTTTGGAAACGTATCAGGGAGAGTGCCAACCCAGCCCCCTGGGAAGGGAATTCCACAGCTTTGGGACAGTCACTGAGAAGGTCCTCTCCTGCATTGCCACCAGACATTCCTAGGAGTGGTGGGATCAAGAGAAAGATCTTGAAGAATTCAAAGCACAGGCAGACCAGAACCTCCCAGAACCTCGAGAAACTCCACAGATCAACAGCCAGGGAGTTGAACAGGACTCCCCCAGCACCATATTCTGGGTCTGTGAGACAGTCCCTCCAATTCCCATCCCATTGAGGTGGCCAAGAGAGATGCCCTAGTCAATGGCATCCAAAGTTGCCAAGAGGTCCTTTATTGTGGATGTTCTCAAAACCCTTAACCTGAATTTTAAAATCCTCACAGTCATTTTTATCTATGCAGCAGCGCTTTAAAAAAAATGTACCTTCTTTTCTAGGATTATTCTAGAAAAGCGGGTTCTGAGGCATGGAATGCCCAGGTTGCCCAGCCAAGATGATACACCAGGTTCCTCCATCCTGCCAGTCAGTAATACCCCAATGGTTGCCTTCAGTTAACTCTCACCAAGTTTGGAAAGTGCATGAATTTCATTATAATTTACTTCAATCCCTACAGACAACTCAATCCATGTTATGCTTCCATGTTCAGCAGGAACTGCCACTTTGGTGAGAAGAAGGACTAATGGAGGTGGTGGGATGTAAGCAGATCTTTCTCTGTAGCCCACACTTACCTGGAGGCTACAAGACGACCAGCCAGGATGCTCATTGTGTATGCAGCCATGCGCACTGCTCACCTCTAGACCCATTCCATGTCCTTCCCTTTCATTCTCAGAGTCCATTAAAACCAGTCACCTCAATTGCTTAAATGAGGTTGCATAATTGAAAAACCATGACCTGGGAAAGTATGCCTGGGTCAAGTACAGGATTCATACTCTTTAATGTAGCCCATTAAAGAACATCTCGAAATGAAAGAACCGGCTTCCTGCCCCCACTAGACTTGCCTGCTGTTGCCGATGGGCACGGTCAGGAAAAGGAGCCTCAGTGCAATCTAATGAAGAAGTGCAGGACAAAGGGTTACTACCTGCAAGCGTATTTTGTGAAGTTAGTAGGATTGTGCAAAAGAGCCTGTTTTTAATTGGGCAGTTAAAGATGCTGGTTAGGATCAGGGCATGTCTGATCTTGGGCTTGGCAGGGAGGGGGTGCTTGGAGTGGCATAAAATGGCCCTTCATTATTAGAAGAATCTGTCCCCCTTAGTGGTCACTAATGAAGACTGTTCCCTGGAAGAAAAACCAGCATTTGAGGTGCAAGGGCCAGTCTGCAACAGGGGCTTTGGCTTGGGAAAAGGTGGATTCCTGTTGGGTTTCGAATAAACAGAGATCCATTGTGGTCAATGGGTGGGATAGAAAATACACACACACACACACACACACACACACACACACACACCCTAGGTGCCATGCAGAGGAAAGGGAGCTAGGCCAACCTGGCAGTGTGTAGGCGCCAAGTGCTATTGGTGCTGACCCTACATGGTACACTGATGCTGTCCTTGGTTTTCTTTCCCCTTGTCTCCAGTGAGAATATAAAATGCCCTTTAGCATAACATGGAGGGTGAAAAACACGTCTACCCTGAAAGTCTGCTACTTGAAATATATCTGTGTGTAAAGATCAGTTATTTAGTCACATGCTCTAACGATTTGGATTTTTTAATTTCATTTCTGTACTGCCCAAAAGCTAGAACCTTCTGCACAGTTCACAAAAAATACAAAACATATCATAAAAACATTAACCCACAATATTTTAAGTAAATCTAAACCACCCCAAACAGTTACAAACAGAAACCAGAAGCTGATCAAACAGCTGAAATTAAGATCTCACCTTGTGCCTGCAGATGCCTTGGAGTCATAACCTGTCCCTGAAACATGTCAGGATTGGTGTCATGAACACCTTCACAGGCAGATTATCCCACTGACTGATGCCTGTCTCTGACAAGGCTTTGCTGCTGCCCTCCAAGCCTCCCTCGGATGAGGGCCTCAGATGCTGACTGTAATGCATGGGTAGGCGTATATCAAAATTGGTGATCTGTCACACACTGCGACTCCAAGACTGGTGGCTTGAAATTGTATAGGGAGCCAGTGCAAGTAGGCCCATATCAGTGTTCTGCATTTGGAGCTTCTGGTCCCCATTAACCTTAGGCAAGCTGCAGCTTTTGAACCATCTTCAAAGGCAGCCTGCACATTGCAGCAATCGAATCTGAGGGTCACTAGAGCACAGTCAATTGAAGCCATTTTGTCCCTGTCCAGGTAGGAGCACGGAAACATAGAAACAAAGCAGGCCAGAAGGGGTCTCCTGGGCCATCTAGTGTGACCCCCAGCTCCAGCCAGCTCCACTCATGTAGTCCCCAGCATGTGGTCCAATCTTTCCTTCAACAGCCTCACCGATGAGGCCTCAACCACCTCTGTTGGAAGCCCATTCCATACCCTAGAGGTCCTGACCGTCAGGAAGTACTTCCGGAAATCCAACCTGAAGCCTGGTTCCTTGAGCTTTGCCCCACTGGAACACATCCGGCCCTCCAGTGCAGGGAAGAAAAGGTCACGCCCCTCCTCCACATGACATCCCCTCACAGACATACCAGTTGTAAAAGATACCCTTGGAGCCTCCTCTTCTCCAGGCTGAAAAGACCCTGTTTCCTCACTAAAGGATCCTCTTGGCTGAAAAGACCCAGTTCCCATCTCTCCTCAGCTACCACTCTTGTGACCCTGAGCTGAACTGATTCTAACCTAGCTGTGTCTCCTATAATGTGGAGTCCAGAACTAGACACAGTACTCCAGCTGTGGGTACACCAGAGTTGTGTAGAGCAGTATCAACACCTTCCTAGAGCTGGAAGTAAGGAACAGGCTATACATCCAAGGGTGGCGTTCGCCCTCTTGACCACTGCATCCCATTGCTGACT